TATTCCCAATTACGAAAAGCGATATATTTAATTAGTATAATAAAACGTCAACAACAACAATTCAATTATTTGGGAATAATTAGGACATCTTGTGTGGCTGGGTTTGTTGTAGTGGGAATAGTTTATTTATGGAAATGTGAATATTCACACGCGCTTTATTCTAATTCTCTGTCTATGCCTAAGTAAGTGTCTTTATGTCGTTGATGTGTCTGCTTTTGATTAGTAATCTCGGCTTGAGAATTTTGGTTACCTTTTCACACCTTATGATTATGCGCGTACACGTGTCAGTGCGTGTGTATGCGTGTGTGTACGTGCATGTGCGCATGTATGTGTGTGTGCTTCTATGTGTTTTTTTTACGTAAGTATAACGTTTCTCTTATTTAAGTGTTCATCTGACACTATGGGATTAGCGCGTCTTCCTCAAGGAGGAAACTTGTCTGCGTGGGTGTCTTTGTGATCGTGCGCGTGTGTGTGTGCATATACTTGCATATGCTTGTGAGTGTATGTCCTTCTTGCACTTCTGCATTGTACACATTTCGTGCAGCTTCTTGTGCATGACACCATGTAGACTTAACATACGCATGCGTGCACATATGTATGCACTGAAACACTCGCATGTGTTTGACAGTGTGCCAACAAGTGCCGTTTCTGCATATTTATCTTGATATTCGAGTTTCTGTATATAAAGATAAAATGGATTTTACGGTGAGGACAATAAAAAAATTATCAGGTGATAATTTAGGGATGTCATAAACTCAAGCCACCCTATAAATCTGACAGTCATTTTGAGGTTAACATGTCATTAACATTACACAGTCACACGCAAGTAGGTGAGGTTAATGTAATGAGTGATTCATAATATAATGATGATTGAGATTTCTAAAGGGTAAGGTAGTGTGTCAAGACATAGTTCTTTTTATTTGCGTATTTGCGCTTATGTGTGTGAAAACGTGTATGTGGTTGTATATCGCGTCATGCATAGATATTCATATGTCCCTAAATATTTATTAGAATGTGAGTGTGTGCGCGCGCACTTGGCTCTGTATGTGTTTTTGTGCTTGTGGGTGTGTGTGTGTGTGTGTTTTTGTGTGTGTATGCTTGCTTGCGTGCGTGCGTGTGCATGTATATGTGGTCATATCTGGAGTTTACGTATGCATTCCCATCTGTAAATGTATAGCAATTTGTGATACTTTTTCCTTCTTTTTTAATTCTGATTTTTTTTTTGTTTCTACAAACTAACATTTACTCATTATTTTTTCCGCGTCCTTCTGTTTTGCTTCCTGTCGATTTATTTTTTGTTCTGCCGCTTTTGATTGAATTCTATTTCTGTCATCATAATAAAGATTGGAACAATTTTGATCGCCGCTGCTACCATTATTATGATTGCTTTTCATAGTTGCTTTCTTTTTTTTTCAACATCAACAATGTATCTACATTATTTTAACAACACCTTCTCATCTTTATGTTTGGCAGAATCGTGCCATTTTTCACCAAGAACTTCTTTCAATAAATCGTGTTCTAAAAAAAGAAACCATAGATTTGAAAACGTCTTCATTTTACGCATAAACATTTTCAAAATGGAGGTTTACATGTCATACAATTAAACTACAAACTGTGTGTCTTGTGACAAAATTAAACAATAAAAACCGAAACATGTTCAAGTAACATCTGGCAATTGATCGGAAACTGAGATATTAACAAACAAATAAATAGAACATCATGAAAAATTGGGAAGAACTTTTTCATCAGAAAAAGAAATATTTGTAGAATAAATAGAAATTAGGGAAAAAGTTCCAGAAAATAACTTGGGAGGAGAAAAATATGTTGCTACAATGAAAGAGTCGGATATAAATGAGAATGTAGACGTATAGATGACTGTTAAACGAGATGAAAAAGGAAATAAAGAAGAAGAGTAACTTGAAGAAGAAGAACGAGAAGAAGAACGCGAGGAAGAAAAAGAACGCAAAGAAGAACAAGTAGTAGTAGTAGTAGTGGTAGTCATGGAGATGATCCAAAAAAGAATGATGGGATAAATAATGATATGAATCGGTGCGAAGAAAAAAGAATAAAATTCTGTGAATTAGGAAAAAGGAAAAAAGCAGAAAGAATAAAGAATAAGAAGATCACAAAAACAGAACGAGAAGATAAAACAGCAAATAAAAGTTAGATTAGCTAAGAAAACGAGGTTTTAAGGAACAAATATAAAAGAGTAAAATGAAATAGAAAAAATGTTAAAATAAAAACACTTTTGATATTCTTGAATATGCTTTAGAAAAAGAATCACATATAGAGGGAAACAGTGTTTAATGAAATGGAAAAATAGGTGACTAGAAAAAGAAAAATAATGTAAGCATATATATTGCTTACATTATCTTTGCAGCAAGACGACGATGTTTTAAGAGATCAGATCACTTGCGATATTCTAATGAAAGAAAAGTATATAAATATATGAATTAAAAAAGGACAAGAAAAATATTTAGAGTAAGAAACAGGGGCAAAAAGAAATTTATATAACCGGAGTAAAAAGAATTTAGAATGAAAGCGAAAATAATTCCGAGGTTAAAAGAAGGTGAAAGTAAAAAATATTAATGAGTGTTACAAAATGATTGAAAAATGACCTCAAAGAGAAAAGGCCCAAGATTTGAAAAAGAAAAAAATGGAAAATAAAATATATTATTAGTAGATCTCAATAAGAATGAGAAGAGGCTAGTAAAATGAGATTTAAGCAAAATAATATCAAGCTTAAAAATGATGATATCATTTGAGAAGGATGAGAAGACGGTAGGCTAAATGAGACTAAAAAAAGTTTCAAAGACAAAACAATGAAGAAGAAGAAGAAGAAGAAGAAGAAGAAGAAGAAGAAGAAGAAGAAGAAGAAGAAGGAAAAAGTGAAGAAGATAGTCTAAATAAAGTAGAAAAATGGAAATGATTGCGTAAACCAAATATAAATGAAGATGTAATTAGATGTAAACCTGGAATGTGAATGCGATGAGAATGAATATAAGGTTATTTAAATGATTTTGAAGAAGAAAAATGAAGAAAAAGAGAAAGAAAATATATAGGATATTAGAAATGAAGAATAAGAATTTAATGTAGAATGAATTAAAGAAAAAAAATTAAAGCTAATGAAAAATTTAATCAGAAGACAAAACAGAGAAATGGAGTTTAGAAAGAGAACATCGACGATGAGTTTATGATTCGGAAGAAAATAATCAGAAAATGAGTTCAGCAAACGAAAAAAAAAAAAACGAAAACAAACATCAGAAGCAGATCGCATCCAGACAAAAATAATGAGAGAACAAAACATTATTATAAAAAGAGAAATATACAAAAGTTTGAACGAGTTTAGTAGGCGACGGTTCGAGGAGTTTTATTTCTTGTATAAGTAATTGGAGAATAGCAGATATGAAGTAAATGAAAAAAATTAAACTTCAGGTAATGGTTAAAGAATAGAAAAATAATATTAGCAAAATAGAATAAAAGTATGATGCCGTCGGCCGGAAATGATTAATAATAGGTCGCCACCAAAGCAATAATCAAAGGTGGCGGGAAACCTATTTTTAGCCAATTAAGGAATCCAGCAATAACAACGGAAGAGATGGATATACAGACCAAGAAGTAGATGATGATGATGATGATGATGGTGATGATGATGATGATGATGATGATATCGACGATGATGATTTGTCGCTTTCTTTTTCTTTTTTCGTTTTTGTTGACGTTGATAGTGTATCAAAAGAATGCTATCTACTTGAAAAGTATTGTGAACCTAATTAAGAAGCCCTTCTTCTTTTTTTTCTTCTTCTTCTTCTTCAATAAATGGACAGAGTCAATTGAAGGGGAATAAAAGTAAAGATAAGAACGCTTCAAAGAAAAAATCAGGGAAGCTGTCATCTCGTAGGTGGCCGCAAGGGAATTTATCCGTTTGTTTAAAATAATGGCCACAAGTAGGTTGAATAATTTCTTATCAGAAATAGATAGAAATCCTGTTTTGGAGATTCTCCTGATATTATCTACTCTTATATCAACAATAAATATTCAGCAGAAGAACGATGGTTGATAAAGAAAATTGTCTGCCATAACTTTATTACCCTGCCTTCAAGTTTTTAAATCAAACAATAAATTTACGAATAAAATTTTAAAGATTTTCATGAATATATTACATTTCTTATGAACATTTCATAGAATCTGCATTCATATATGTACGAGACCAAATTGAGTAAAATGCATCATGGTTGTTTAGGTGTGGGGAATGAAGTGATTTTACCAAGCAGATATTTTAAGAAACGTTTTAAAAGTGTTAACCTATTCTATTGAAAAACTTCGATATTGTAAGTAAAGCTGACCGCTCGTGAGTTTTGCAATGTCTCTTAAAACCATAAAAATTTTAAAAGTTCTATTACACTGTTGACAAATCGTTTGTTTTAAATATTTGTTTGTCCTGTGTTTTCATGGTTGATATAACATACCAGCCCCGACCTGGTGAAACTAGACTTGTTCTTCCTCATGACCAAAGGTACAAATCAAGTCTTCCTCTTAACGGTAACATTTATATTCAATCTGACGCGGCCTTCACAAACTCACTGAGTCGCTACTGAGTCAAAACAATCTGTCTTTCTATGCTGACGTTTTAGTTTGTTTCAATTGATGCATTCTTCCAAGGAATATAACCTGTCTTCATTCTTTGTTTTGTTTAGAGGGGGTTACATCGCATCATTACATATACCAGAGAAAGTAATTCTATGGCTTATCAATCCTTTGCAGGTTATTTAAAGCCAGAAAATATTTTTTTTAGATATTAAGAGTTTTTTTTTTTTTAGATAATAATGGCTTAGTGATACAAATCTTGCTAATTAACCTATAGCTGGAGGAGAAGTGGTTGATTCATAGCTTTCTCAAGGCTATTTAATCATAAGTGAATATAAGAACCCAAATGGAATTGGAACTCAGCTCTCTGATTAAAAATTCCGAGCCATTATCCATTATGCCACCAAGCTAATAGTACCTGGTATTCCCAAATATTCCCCCATCTAGTTACTGACCAGGCTCGACGTTGATTAACTTCGGTGATCGTATGGGAACCGTTGAGAGAAAATGAACCCAATAAGGAATCTTTTAAACGTTTCCTTGGGCTTATAACGCAATCACTCACCGCATTTGATTTCATAAAATTTTTTCTCAGATAAACCAGTATCTCCAAATCTTACCAGATATCCTCTACATCCGTGTCCATATTCGTAGATACCCGTCTCTACATATTGTGTATTTATTGAAGGACAACATGGTCTGGTATGTGGCAAAATAAAGGAATATTTAGTATTTTTCTGAGACTGCATTGATAGAAAATTGCTTCATATGTCTACGATAAGGAACCAACGTGTTACACGAATAGTGAAGGGTGAAAAACATATTGTATACTCCTGTCTTAGTATTAAACGAAATGCCTCGCTGGGAGCAAACACAAACATTAAGTAACTTGAAAGTCTCACTGGCTTACTTCATGCGAAAATTAATCCCATCATCTGAAGTGTTATGTCAGTTTAAAATACTCTCAAGGTATGGACAATTTTCAAGGGCTTCCAACAGCTTACCTTCAACATAGACTTTAGGCTTCACATATAATTTCTCTGGAGTTGGTTGAAACATGACAAGATTTATTTAAACCGATTGTCAAGTCAAATCGCTTATAAGCGGTAGAATGCATGTTCATCAAAAAAAGTATATCTTCCCAAGAATGCTTGACCAGGTTATAATCATCGGCATATAGATCTTGAATTAATACATAAAATGATTTTGTCTTGAAAACGTTTAAGAAAATTCTTCGGCAGCCGTACAATCATGTAATAATAATGACCGATACTTTACAAGGTTGCATACATAGATACATAATTATATTTATACATACGTACATATTTATATACATGCATATATACATACGTACGTATTTAAAGACATGCATATTTTTGTTTTTAATTTATTTGTTTAAATGTTATTTTATGGATACTCATATTCAAGTAGAAGTTCTGTTTTTAATTAAACAATATTTTGTATCCAACTCCGTCTACCGGCCTGAATATTTGAGAAAACTCGCCATAATTTCTATGTGAATATGAACATCCATCCAAAATAATGTTTAAACAAAATAAATTAAAAGTAACAATACGTCGGATTCAATCCATTTCCTCAAAAATACATATATAAATGCATAAGCACATATTTGTAGGTTACATTGAATAATAGGTGGAAAGAAATATTCGATAAGTTGAATTCAGATTCCCAAACTTAATTTTAATCACATCAGCATCAAAAGATGCATTATATACATAGGTGTTTTTCTGTCTCTCTGTCTCTATACGGGGACTGCAGAAATGTTGTCGGCTCGAAAAGAATTTCTCCCCAACCAATCAAATAGAATATTATTTGAAATTTTAGGAAGTGGGCCGAACTCAAAAATGTTTAAATTCCGCATCTTCACACACACACACACACACACACACACACACACACACACACACACACACACACACACAACAAATATAATATATATATATATATATATATATATATATATATATATATATGGAAAATCGATTAGGTTGCGGGTTATGATCATTGTGCTACAGTTAATATCACTTCTGCTTCTGTCCGGAGCAACACCTGGAAATTCCTATATATACAGGATGCAATGGATTAATTGGCGTCTAAATTACGCAGAAATAAAATAACACTGACGTCTCATTTTAACAGTTATATTTACAGAAATTATACAAAAATATCTTAAAATAGTAAAGAGTAAATTTATTCAATAAAATCTCCATTGGCTTCAAACACGGCCTCCAGATGACTTCGCAGTGTCCTGAAACTCTTCTGGAGGGTCGCTTTCTTTAAGTTGGTGAGTTATGTAATTATCCTTGCCTTCAGTTCATCTTTGATGTTACAAGGAGTTTTGTTCGTCTATCGCTCAATTGCACTCCACACATAATAATCAAAGGGGTTGTAGATTGGTGAGTTTATTGGCCAGATGTAAGTGATGATATGGTCACAAAAATTGTCTGACAACCATGAATGGGTTCTCTTGCTTGTGTGGGATGGTGCAGAGTCCTATTACCAGACATAGGGTTTTTCAGCAGTCACCCTTTTGGCCAGGGCAGCACTTACCTCATCAAGGAACTTGCTGTATGCCTCCGTGTTAAGTCCGAGGGCCTGTAGGAAGATAAATGGAGGCCATCACTAGTGATCACTCAAGACATCTTCGTAATCACTTTAGACTCATATTTCATTGGTGAGTTGTGTCAGTTTACTTGCTTTTCGATCAATTAGTGAAGGAAATATGGGAGTTTCTGAAAAAAAAAACTCGTCTCAACCAAGATGGGACTGCCAAAAATTCTGATCTTTGGATATTTGGCCAGATAGAAGGAATTAAGTTGGTCCGGAAATTGTTCAGTACCTCCTTATAATTATATAATGTATATATGCTGAACATATTAGATGTTCATTATTAAAAGATAAACTGTTAGCCTACAAAGGAAATTAAATAAAATCAACGGAAAGGCAATGTTAGAAATGACTGCCAATTTGACAGCATCACAAACGTATTCCCTATTTCAGCAATGCATATGCAGTAACAATTTTTTTTCCAACTGGATATTAATAAAATTGCAATGAGGCATACTTAAGGTCTGGTGGATCAGAAAATACCGACGAACTCCGCTATCGCTCTTACGATAATTCCTTTTACAGTAAGAAGAAGAAGAAGAGCAACAACAGCAATAATAATAATAATAATATCGTTTAAGTAAATTACAAAAAATGATAGTTGGGTTTGGTAGAAGTGAGCATCTGGTATAAAATTATAGCATACAGTAATAAGCACTGAGGATAAAAATTAGCCTATGGTAAGTCTCGAATGTGAAATTTTTCTCGTCAGAAACAGTTAGAAATCTACCATTCGTCCGTGCATTGAATACTGATTTCATATTTAGTCTGGTGCTCCTGCTGTTCATCTTGAGGTTTTTGACAAAATCCAAAGAAGGATATGCAATGTTATCGATCCTGACTTGGCATCTCGACTTCAGTCACTTTCTCACTGACGTGGCCTGGCTCCCCTTTGTTTTTTTTTTCTAAAAATATTTTAATGGCTTCCGCTCTACGAGCTCCCCCCCCCGCTGACTACATCAATTTAAGCGTGCTACTAAATTGGCATCTAGATCCCACGTTTTTACTGTTGAAATAGCTAACTGCTCCCGCCACTTCTACTCCAACAGTTTATTTTCTTGCACTTCCCACCCGCGGAAGTACTTTCCGTTTACTTGCTTCCCTGATAACTACAACCTTCAAAAATTTAAATGCAACGTCAATCGCCATCTTCTGTCTTCTTGAATCCGGTTCATTATTTTATTTTATTTCTTTTTTTTTTTGTCCTTTCCTCAATCCTCTCTATTCTCAGTTTTCCCTTTTACTTTTATTCCCTGTAGCCCCCTTCCTTGAGAGTGAAATGATAAAACAAAATGCTGGGTGATTTTTAGTCACATTTCTTTTAAAGAAATTCGCCTCATACATCATCTAAAATGGTAATTAAAAAGATTTTTTAACTGTTAGTAGATGTAGAAAAATATAAATCGTTTTAATATTGCCCATTTTAGAAAAGGTATATGTTATGTTTTTGTTTCAACTAGAGATATACCTTTTTTATTTTATACTTTCAATCAACATGCTTCTATTTTATACTGAAATATAATTCTATGAATATCTGCAAACGTATTTGCTCATCTTCACTTGTTAAGTTTCTTTAATTTTACTAATTCAGTTACGGCTGGGTATATATTTTTTGTTACAACTAAATCCTACGTAACGAAAAATGAAATAATAATAATAATAATAATAATAATAATAAAAATGTTGAAAAGTATGTTTACAAAATTTCATATATGCTGTCTTCATGTTTCGGCGCGTGTATTCTTTGTTTTCCTCGGATGTAGTATCCGATTTTTAGTATTCAATTTTTTCTCCTGAATACTTTACATCTCTTTCATTTTTCACTTTGAATGTACGAGTTATCTGAATCCTGTGACTGTGTGTTAAAATTTAATCTTGCAATCTTTAATCTCTTGGAACGTTAAAATGAAAAATTTGAAAAATTGTTTTGAACAAATTTCAAAGGCCAAATACGATATACACCTATAAAAAGTCGAAAAGGTGTCTGTTGTAAATTTAATAACAACAGTGTATAATCTGAATAATACATAGATTAATGAATTTATCCACAAAGTTCAGAAAGCAATAAAATCGGATCACATATCTTGAGGGAAATGAATTGTAATTGATTTGAATTTTCTTTGTCTTTTTTCAGTGAACAAGATATGTTACTTTCAGTCAGAGATTCACAAAAGACGATATATATAGATGTATAGAGAAGCCTAGAAATGAAAGGAAAATTTTTGGATTAATCAATTAAATGCTTATTATATATAAGTCAGTTATTCAGAGTTTTTATTATAAGTTTGGGTGGTGGTAAATATTTTTCGAATTCCATATATTCAGAGTAACTTAGTTATCGCTCTGGCTTATATATTTTCACCGTCTGAAGGAAATCTTCCATATTTTGAACAAATATACAAACCTAGCTACAAAGACAATACAAAGGAACAAATGGGTGTAAAACAAGAGCGTATTTTCTCAACAGACTTATTCAACCTTTACTGTGAAGCAATACTGGGAGGATACACAATAACAACATTAGATATGCAGATGACACGGTGTTTTTAGCGAACATGGAAAGGAAACTTATCGGAAAAGCTACATAAGGTACAAAGGAAAGCGAGAAGAAAGAACGAAATATCAATTTTAAGACGACAATGTATGGTTGTCAGCAAAACGAACGGCCAAGATACAAAATTAGAAATTGGAGATACCAAAATTAAACTAGTACAAAAATTGAAATATCTAGTAAGTGTTTTAACAGAGAAAGGAAAATACAATACTGAAATCCAAAGATACGTTAGGATAGCAAAAGATGTTTTCCAAAAGCTAAATAAAGCATTAAGAGACAGGAAAATTTCATTAGAAACAAAAAAATATTTCTGAACTTTTATCTAATATCGGTTCTTCTATATGACAGCGAATACTGGACAATCTTCTCACAGATGAAGAACAGACGTAAAGTAAGAGGAATGTGGTTCTACAGAAGGATATTGAGATCCTTTGGACTTAGCATATGATCAATGACGAAGTTTTACAGAAAATGGAAACAAAAATGCACTTATATGTAGCAGCAGAAAGAGATGAATTTTCTAGCGGACTTAATGGAAATAGAGCCTTGAAAACTTTGACACTCACAGGACATATTGAAGGCAAAAGAGACAGAGGAAAGCAGCGTATAACCTACCTCATGCGTAGCTTTTGTAAATATTGCTTTCACTGCTTTCCAGTTTGTTGAAAAAACCACTCTGTAATTCCAGTTTTTAAGAAATCCAGGGAATCTTCTGACTCATTAAATTATCGCCCTATTAGTCACTTACCTCCTTTTGGCAAAGTAATCTAAGCTTTAATCAATGCTGAATTGGTTAAGCATCTTACCTTAACGACCTATTTTCCGACAAACAATATAGCTGCCGTTTCGCTAGGTCTACAGCCGACATGTTAACGGACATCATTGAATGTGTCTATCAAGTTTTAGATAAGAATGGAGACGCTCAAAAGCGTTCGACAGGGTTTGGAATGCTGAACTTCTTCGCAATCTCAAGAGCAACAGTGTCAAGGGACGAATATTTGGCATAATCTAATCGTTCCTAACAAATCGTGTAATAAAAGTAGTGTTGAACAGGCATGTTTGTAGATCATTTCATACCAATGCGGGGCTTTCACAGGGCTTTTACCGCGGACATACGCTGTTTCTGATCTTCATTAATGATTTCCCCGATGTCATCAGATACCAACTAGGTACTTACGCAGATGACACAACCATTTATTTCTGTCTTAGTAGCAAGCCAAACAGACCCGACAAAGTACAACTGTCAACTGCTTTAGAAAAGGACCTTGTAAATATTAGCGCCTCGAAAATAAAACTTGGGCTCATATTTTCTACTGATAGGAAGTGGAGCGACATTATTTGCTAGAAACGTTGGTTTACAGTGTCGTGCCAGAAAATCTTTCTTACCGGTATCCATCTTGCACATTTATAAATCTACCATTCGTCCGTATATTGAATATTGTTGTTATATCTGGTCTGGTGCTCCTGCAGTATATCACGTGATTCTTGACAAAATCCCAAAATGAGTAAGTAATGTATTTGATCTTGACTTGACATCTCGACTTCAATCACTTTTCCACCCTAGTAACGGGGCTTCCCTATCATTTATATAAATATTTTCATGCTAACTGTTACAAGTTTTTTCTTATGCCTCGACTACACGAATTTAGGTGTGCTACTAGATTGGCAACTAGTTCCCACTGTTTTAGAATTGAGCTAGTTAAATGCAACCAACTCTTCTACTCTAAGAGTTTCTTTTCTCTTAATTCTCACCTGTGGAACTCTATTTCAACTTCTTGCTTCCCTGACACCTTCAATCTTCAAAAGTTTCAATTCTTCGTCACCGCCACCATCTGTCTTTTTCAAATCTGTTCCTTTATTGTTCTTTCCTCAATCCTACCCACTAAAATCATCTCATTCTCTTTCACTCCCTGTAACCTTCTGCGTCCTAGTGGCATTATCGCCTTACTTGGTGTGAGACGATTAAAAAATGGTTGGTAGAACAGGGATTAGAGGAGATAGCAAAAAGATAAACTTTACTAAGACACAGCATATAGAAGAAGAATATAAGATATATGCTACATTCTTTTGCACCCAGTCTTACTCAGGAATATACGTATGAAGTATGTTTTATATTGCATCATTTCCCAGAGGAATAATTTAGTGATATTACAGGAAAAGTTTTAAGAAATGTTCAACGACAATGATCCAAGAAAGGACTGAGGCAAAACATACGAGGTAAGAACATAGAACACTGTTTCGAGATAGCACAATGAAGTACAGATAAAGAAAATTCCAGTGAGAAATGGATTTGATATATCCGACACTCCCAAAATAACCATTCTACGAAGAAAAAACAGACATATTCAAATGATACGCGACTAACAGGAGAAAGACAATGAACTCGATGGTAATTAAATCCAAAATTAAAAGATTATTTTTTTTAAGGGAAAATTAACTTTTCACATTTGGGACAAATTATTGTTACATAAATAATTATATCCCTGAACGAAAAGTAAAGCAAACGAATAGCTTCGAATTTCACAAGCAAATATTTTACAGATGCGTGACAAAAGTGAATAGATACGTTTATCTTCAAACAAAAGACTTAATTCAACAATTCAGTCTCTGATACAAAGGCTAATCTTCTCTTAAAAATTTGGGCAAATAAAGATTCTTTTATGCCCAAATTACAAGTGCTTACTTTTCGGTGGCTAATCGAAAGGAAAAGGATGATATTTCCCGAAAATTTCTTAAGTTTATTAAAACCACCCTTTTTATTTCGCACTTTTTAACCGCTTAATGGTTTTGCGACTCGACTTTTATTAAGAATCCAGTTTATTGCATATTTTGCTAACAATTTCGAGCTCCCAAATATTAAAACATACATTTGTATTAGACACCTAATCATATTCACCATCTTAATTGACAACTCCATTCTCCGCAGAATGATGACAGGCTTAAGGAATGACTTTCTTCTGGTTGCTCTGCCATGGGATTATGATCCTTTTTTCTGTTAATTCAGATTCCCTCTACCACTTTTGACCACCTGTAAGGAGGATGCTTTCCAACTCTACAATACATCACTAAATCACAAATCTGATGCGTTCATTCTTTCCTAAGTAAAATATGTTATCTTGCGATTCACAGTTTAAAGTGAAATTTCTTCTGATGCAATTCGCTTCACTTTTATAATGACAAAAATCAAATTTACTCGTTTTTTTTGTTTGTTTGTTTTTTTTTATCGAAATCTAACACTTGTGCTCTTTATGTCCTGTGAAGTGCTTTTAGAGTTGTCTTATTTTACAAACCAAATTGCCCGTCCTGGGTATGACGATAAACTACATACCCGTCCTGGACAAGACGATAAACTACGTCCAACAGCAAGGCCTCTGATCAGGAGGTTTTGAGGAGCGTGGAACGACATCTTAATTGCTGCTGTCCCCAGGTCCACTCTGACACGGAGTGGTAGAACCTGTTAAGGTCCCAGCTATCGGCAAATAGTTAACCCCAAACTGGGGTCAAAGCACTATGATAGTGTAAAAATAAGGTTTAATACCAGAAATACTTTGTAGAAGAGAAATTATTAGTAACAATACTTTTATGGAAAAAAAAGATATTACTAGCAATACTTGTTTTGGAAAAAAGTTGTTAAATAATACATTTTTGAATACATATATATATATATATATATATATATATATATATATATATATATATATATATATATATATATTACCAGCATTAAAAATTTGTCGACATTAAATAACCCACTGAGGCTGATATGCCGTAAAAACAAAGCAAAGCTAAGGAAATCAAACTACCAATAAATCCATTTTTATTTAATATTCAATTTAAATTTAATAATGTTATTTCTTTTCATTATAACTCTACTCACACGCTTATGTCTATAAAAATTTATATCAATATATATTTATAGTTACTTATATTGATATGTTTAATTATGTGTAAATACATGTCATGTTTGGTTTTTGTTTGAGAAATCATTTAAGAACAATAATATACTACAATGTTTTCAGTAGCTGTAAAAAAAAGACTTTCCCAAGCCTTATTCAAATGTTACTATATCCATGTGAAATATTTGTCGCCGGTACTGAATTTCATTATCAATCTCGGTAACTGACATACCTCAGTATTTTGCACACAATCCCACACATTCTCACTTATTTCTCCACAATCGCACAAAGTTACGCTAACTAGATCAAGCCTCCATTTCTGTGTCTTTCACTTCATAAATCACTTTATAATAACTCAAAGCATCTATCACTTCATGTTTAGCTACGTACAACAGCTCCCACGCCTAAAGGTAAATCCTAAGTTTTCCAACTTAGACTTCGTGAATGTTTTCTCATAGGAAGACTTTTTGTTATGCATATTTCGTATCCCATTTATTTCCTGACACAGTTCATGGCTTTCTTTTCTTTCTCTTGGTTTTTTTTTTGTATATTCCATTTGCTTTTTATTTAATATTCTCTTTTTATTCATTTTACTCCTTGCCTGATGTTTGTCTTTGAATATTTTAGGTTTATTTGTTTCTTTTCTTCATTTATATTAATTTTTTCTTAATCTTTAATTTCTTTCATTTATTTGATCATAGTCTCTTACTGACTTTCTTTCCTGATATCTACTTGTATTTATTGTCTGTCTTTCCATTTGTTTTGCTATCGTATTTTGTATTATTCTTTCCGTTTTGCTGTCATTTTCCTTTATTGACTTTGTTTTCTTTTTTCTTTTTTTCTCTTTTCACTTTGTCATTCTTTTTTTCTTAGTCATATTATTTTTACATTTGTTCGCTGTTTTCTTTACTATTCTATTCTTCTATTCTATTGTCATTCTCTTTTCTTTACTCATTCTTCTATTCTATCGTCATTCTCTTTTCTTTACTCATTCTTCTATTCTATCGTCATTCTCTTTTCTTTACTCATTCTTCTATTCTATCATCATTCTCTTTTCTCTTCTCATTCTTCTATTCTATCATCATTCTCTTTTCTCTTCTCATTCTTCTATTCTATCATCATTCTCTCTTGTTTTTGTTTTTCTATCCTCTTATTTTCTACATTGACCTTTTTCTTTTTATCATTCTTTCCATCTTGATTTCATTTTTACCGATTTCTTTACAAATTACATTTTTTTTTATTTTGTCATTGTGCTTTCTTTTTCTATTATTCCTTTTCTTCCTTTCTTTAAATTTAACTTTTTTACTCCTTTTAGGTTATCAACTTCTCCAGCACACATTCCGATTCAGCTTTTCTTCCCCCTTCTTTTCTTCCGTCTGTCCATTTAAACACACACACACACCCACACACACACAAATGCACACGCGCGCGCACACACACACACACTTGCTACTTTGCCTGAAACGCCCAGCCGATTTTCAAGCAGTCAAACAAGTTAGCGAGCTGTCACCACAGGAATAGACAGCTGGACATGTCCTATTTCAATACGCTATAAGAACAAGCCGCTCAGTCACAGCTTGTACACCTTTATCCCTTTTCTCGTGTTTTTATAGTGTTTAGTTTTGTTGTCGTTGTTGTTACTTGTTGTTGGTTTAAGTCCGACATAAAGGGTACGTAACTCGTGTTGTGTGAACTCGTGCCCCTTCCTTTGAGCCCTATGTTCGCTGTCTGTTTACCTTCTTGTAAGCATATTTCCTTTGTTTATACAAAGGCCTTGGCAAAAGGTGTGAAAATGACGACGTGTGTGTGTGTCTCGTTATATGTTTTTGTGTCAGTATTTTCTAATTCGGTGGCCAGTATTAATCAAATAACTGAATCAGCACGGCTAATTACTTGTGAATAATATATTAACGTCATTCTTGTCAGTAGGAAAAATCAAAGTTTAAAATGTTTTATTAACTGAAACACAGTAAAAAAATTTCTTTTAATTTGTTATTTTATTTTAAATAAATGTTTCTTCAAAATAGGTTCACCCAATAACAATTAAATAAAAATACAACCACACAAAAAGACTTGTACTCAACTAATGTCAAAAGTTTACAGAGAGCATGTTACTTTTCAATCTCATTTACATTTTGAAATATGTTTAAGAAATATTCAAGCTAAATAGGTTGGTTAAGATGACAAAAATACAATTCAAATATGTTTTGCTCAAGTACTTTCGGTGGACGGAAAAGAAAAGTGTTCTCTTTAATCAGGCAGTTGAATACAAACCCTAAGAACGGATCACTAGATAATAATGTCCATAAAACTTCATAGTGATTATAATTTGTTGACATACAGAAAAGTGCTAAATCATAATAGCATTGATAGTCAGGTGGAAAAGCCTTCAAATCATAGTTGCAGTTTTTAACTATTTTTCTATTTTAAAAATGATATATATTAATTAGAACAATAGTTTGGTTACCTGTTTAAACCAAATTCAGTATTGTACAACCAATGAAGAGAATGTTATAATTTCTGAATGTCTTTACAATAGTCCTTGTTCCAAAACTTTTGTCGTTTTCTAATCATCATTTCCAATTTATTGCTGTCTGCAAGAAATTAACTGTTCTACCTCTAAATTTCTCTCAGGTATTTGGGCAACTTTAGCAGAGAATGATCGAGGCAAACTTTAGAAGTTTTAAAGTTCTTGAACTGCTATTCGGTATCAAGCAACAACAAAAAGATGTCCTTTGTGAATAGTTTACACGTTCAAATGCAATTACGATAAAATATGTAACTTGATGGAGAATGTTTCTTTCTTTATTTCATCACGTCAATGAAATTAATATGACTCGATTCGCCATGATGTATGGAATATCGGCAAGGTGTCGGCACCTTGTTTTCTTTAGGAGCAAATTTAATTACAGTTTTTATAGACATATATCATCAAAAGTGATGTCAGTTCAACTGATATATGTTAATTGAGATAATACATTGCGAAATTAGGTTCTTGATGCCGACCAAAGTCACAACAAAATTCTTAGAAAATGTTAAATGGCCCTCAGCATGGTTTCCTCTAAATATCAGCAGTTACAAAATTGATCAACAACTTCTGAAACGCTTATCAGAGAATTTCCATATGAATATAAATATTATTTATTATTTGTCAAAAGAATAACTACGCCTGTGCCAAGATACGATTGTTCTCATTCTAGTTATATTTGTAAATTATTGGCAAAATGAATCAGTTTATTGTGATAATGTATAATGTAATGCAGTTTTGATTGATTCTATTTAAATTAGTTATAAACCCCGCCCTTCTGAAGTAATAGCTGTCAAAAGTAAATGGAGGCTTTCAAAAATATTAATTTCCACAATTTCAGTGTTTGCACCTGGTTGTGTATATTTGTGCGTTTAAGAGCTAATACCATGAGCAAATGCATAGATTGAGGTATCAAAGAATATCTGGCAGCCATCTCATAACGTATAGCTGCTCCCTAAAGCCTGAATAAAGCATGTTAATTAACTTGGCGTGGAGTCTAGAAAGTGCTTGAGTCGTTGCATGAATATAAATGTCCAGGGCTGACCATACATGTTGGGTTTGGCAATGCTAAAATGCGCTTAAGATTTGGTGAAACCGACTGAGATGCTTGGTCCATGTCCTCAAGCGGTTTCCTCCACTCACGTATTTGACCGTCTGTCCGAAAGAGCTACCCGAAAGAGCTGCCTGGTCAGGCAATTGGCGCCAACCATCTACGCACCAAGTTCAATGTTCTCCGATACAGATGAGGCGTAGTAACATATAGTGGATGTCAATAACAATTCTCTTGTTCGCCGAGGACTAAGAGATCGCATGCAGTGTTAACAAACAGGCTGGGAGGTACTGGTGTTGTACGGCGATGCAATGCATCGTTGGGTATTTACCATCGTTGCCAATCTCCAGCAGTGGTTTATGTGTTGCTTTAAAAACCTCTAGGCGCCTCGTGTCTGTTACAACCACCCTGTCTCAGTTACCCTAACTCTACTCCTATACGTCATACATACCTCATCTAACTGAGTCTATTTCTACAAGGGCAAATGAAGACCATTCGATTTCCTGACGACACTATTTTCTGACATTTTACTTTAAGTACGAAAACACATTAACGATTGATTCATCTTTTATTTACCGTCTCCTTTCCGGACATGCGTGATCATGGCTCTCTACAACATCCTATCCTTTGTAGGTAATGTTTGTCCGCTTACTATTTCTCCCTGTCATCCATTTACACAAGCTTTTTAAGTAGGTTATTCGCTGTTTTCCTCTACCCTTCTTGCCTTCAATATGTCCTGTGAGTGTTAAATTCACCAAGCCGCCTTTCATGATTGTGTGTCCCCAAAATTTCAGCTTTTCCTTTCTGATCCTAATTAAATGTCTCCTTTTCGTTCCGATTTTCCTTGAAAGTTTCTCGTCACTTACATGTTCCAACGATGGTATTCTCAAAATCCTTCTGGAAAGCCATATCACTGTTGCCTCACTGTTCCAAAATTTTCAACTGATTAGTAAAGCTTGAAATATAGTTTTCAGATATAATCTTTGATGTAATTTAAAGATTTTACTTCCATACCACGACTATACTAACGAATAACAGAGAACATCAGACAAAAATAGTTGGTAGCTTCTAAACTTAAATTCAAACCAACTTTATCCTTTTTTGTTTATCAATAGGATAAGAAAACCTTAATGTAGTGCCATTATTCTGGTTCTTTTGAAAGTGATGCGAATTGTCTTATTATTCTTCATTTTCAGCTAATTCATAGATTACGCATTGTATGTATAATGTAAATGATTTCAACTTCGTTAACTAAGATACTAATTACAAACCGAGAATAGGAAAATACATTGTTTCTCACTGATATTGATTTTCAAAGCTGTAATCATGAAAGTATATCTCTTGTCAAATATTTTACTTAAGACATGTATTATAACGTTTCCTTGAAATATTTAGCAATTTTCTCTGTCAATTTACCAAAGAATATTTTAACACAAACCATACATTTATGTATGACATAAGTTATTTTTGTTCTGCCAAACGTCATCGAAAAGTGAATCTGAGAATATTTTATATTTAACCTGAAAATATTACCAGGTTATAATGATGTAAACAAAGTAAATGTGTGCTTATTTTACAATCAAAAGATTAAAATATAAATGGCAATTACAGATACTGACTTTAACGAGATTAGTAATGGATAATAAAATATATTTTGGTCATTTATAAATAATGAAAGTTTTCAGCTTGGCTATTAAATTTCGATGTTTGTTCATTTAGTAAGGTTTTTCGAAGTGAATCGAGCCGAAAAATATATATATATATATATATATATATATATATATATATATATATATATATAAAATAAGGATAGTATTTTAAAATAAGCTGAATTAATATTTTGCCAAGATTAAAATCTTTTTTAACCCAATATATATTAATCAGCTTTTATGTAATTTTAAGCCTGATTATAACCTTTCCACATCACTTATATATTGATGTGCTGTACCGAATATTGGAATATACAGTGTCAGCTTAAATTAGGTAAGAAACTAATCAAATATAAATAGTATTAATGCTATTCGCCATAGGATCTTGAAATTTATAGAAATCCTAGTTATTGGTATACGTTTCACATACGCAAAACTTTTATAAAAAAAATAACTTTCTTTGAATAAAATACAATAAACATCCATCCTCATCCAAAAACAACACATTCTGTCATGTTCTTGAAATTTTTCACCACTATATGACAATATTACTCTCACTAAACGAATAGATGCAATGTTCTAACTGTTAAATCAACTAACAGGCATGCTGAAACACATCGAACAAGTCTTTGACAATAAATTGTCAAAACGATGACCCGATCTTTATCTGCAGTTTCAAGAAAGCTGTACCAATCCAACAATATCATTTTAAAATTGTGTAATGAGACAAATATTTTGTTTCACAAACAAAACAGGAAATTTACCACGTAATAGAACTGACTAATTAAAAGACTTGTTCTGAATGATTTTTCACCAGGTAAGATGGAGGCTTCCATGCAGTGTTACGATGATTAAACGAATTTTGAATGGAATTTTATTTTCAAGTTTGTAAAGCTACCATAGGTAAAAGGAACATAAAGTAAAAGGAACTTGAATATACACAAGAATGCGCTGTTTCGAAAGATTAGAAT